GAAGGACGGAGTCGCGTGAAGGAGAAAGTCGCGGACTGGCTGTGGGGCACGCTGGGATTCGTCAGCTGACGGAAACGAAGGCCGCGAACGTCGGCGGACGTCGCGACGTAACGTAACGCGACGAGTCTATTTTCGCGCTCCTCGCTAATTGGGACACGCGGAGAGTCGATCAAGGCCCGGTTTGTCATTGTCTCGATCATGAACCTTTCGCGAGTTGACGCTAGAGAAAAAGATTCATGATCGAGCCACCGGCTAACTGGTAGCCAGAGATTCAAGCGGAGTTTAGTCGACCTCGCTCCATATTATTATCCTAAGAAGAGGCAGAAGATTGACTAATCTCAACAGTTGATCGGAAAGTGAAAAACCGGGCCGGAGGGCTTCTCTCGCCAACCTCGGTTCGATTGGTCTGACCGTAGGAGAAGAAGAAATCGCCGTCCCCGAGGGGGCGGAAAACTCGCGGGAGTAAAGCGCGGATTTTCCGCTGAGTAAGGTTAGAACGTACGCGCGGAAGCGGGAAGTGACCTTGGAGTCGGATTCGTCCGGGGTCGAGCACATGGGCAGTGCCCGCCGCTAGCCGGGCGTTCTAAGTCAATAACGGCAATGATATCAAACGACATTGCGACACGCGGGGGGGAGCGCGGAGCAGGGACGGGCGACGGATTGTCGCGCGGGAGTAGCGCCGAACGGCGGCCGACGTCGCGTCAAAGGTGACGTCCGGTGACCCCGTTGCGCGCGTGCATCGCTTTCGACGACGCGTGACTTACCCGATGTGACGAGCGCTCGCACCCACGGCAATCGATGACAGTTTCCCGGCGGCGGCGGGAGGCAGGGGAGGCGCGACGAGAGCGGTCGTCGGCGCGGCGGTGGTTCCTATTATCTCCCGGCGACGGGCCGCTGCATGTTCCTCCTTCCGGCACGAGCACACGGCGGGGACTCGCCTCCTGACGTCGGTCGGCGAGGCGGACTTTGCCGTCTCGCGTGCGCGAACACCGGACGAGGAGAGGCGGCAGTCGATGATCGGCACACTCGCGCGATTACTCGCCCGAACGGTAGGCGGAAGAGAAAGACCGAGACGGAGAGAGAGAGAGAGCGCGATAGAGAGAGAAAGAGAGAGAAAGAGAGAGACGCGGCCAAATTTCCTGCCCCGACAACAGTCACCCGATCGCGAACGCGTCCCGTACCGCCGCCACACTGAGATGCAGCACACCGAACGTAGCACCGAGCACTGACTGCTCTCGCCAGCCTCGCCGTTCACCAAGGCGATAAACAAACTCCGCCGCCCACCTCTCGCTTCTCTTGCCGCGACACGACGACTACGCGCGCGACTCGCAGCACGTTCCCTCTCTCTCGCTCACGCCGGTCCGCGCGCGCCGAAACAACTGAGCATCTCGCTCCCACCGCCCGGCCGTTCTCGCCCCACCCCCCCCACTCCGGCTCGCACCGCGCGGCGCGCGCACTCGGTCTCGCGCGGCTGCCCCCCACTCACCCACTCCCGCCGCGCCGCTCGCGATACTCCCGACGGTCCACGAACGTTCTCGAGCGTCGTGCGTGACGCGCGAGCACCCCGCCGCCCCGTGTACGCGCCCTTCGCCGAACTCGGGGCGTCCCCGGGCCGTCACCGTGTTCGACGAATTGTCCTGATCGCTGGGTGAGATCGCGCGTCTTGTACGGTGTACCGGATACGTGTATCATTTCGTCGTTGGTCGAGGGTGTCCCGCGACGCGACACTTCTCTTTGGCGTCGCGCCTCGGAGTCCGGAACACGCGTGCTCCCGTTGGCGACATCTTTCCGGGACGAAGTCGAAGCGACGGGTGATCGAATAACGTGCGCGGATGATTACTTCGGTATCACAGGATCCCACCCAGACTCGATCCCGGCCGTCATCCGCGTATTTAAAGACGCTACGGTGACGCGTAAAGTCGTGGGCGGGCTCGTATGAAAGAAGATCCACTAACGTTTTACACTTTATCGGTCAAGTCGAGCTCGGTCGTTCCAATCGTGCAACATAGATGTCGGAGACGGCGCGTTAATGCGCTATGATAATGCAGCTTTTCGCGCTGAATCTCTTGATTCGTTGAAGGAAACGGATCTCTCTTAGACGAAAATCGACGTTTAAAACATTAATTTTCTAAAGATATTCGGAAAGAACGTTGTATCTTTTTGTTCCAAGTAAATGTATGGAAAGTTTGAGAACGTCGATGCGTTTCTCGCCTCAATTAATTGCAGTAATTATAAATACATAAGTTTTGTAATAAAATTGAATTTTTACAAAAATATCGACTCAAAATTCGGCACGATTTAATTCTCAGATGGTAAGGCGAACTTTACCTGCCGAGTTGGTTCGACACTCGAGCGCCGTCGATAATATCGTTCGTCGATATCACAGTAATCCGCATTGTCCTTTCTATACCCAGAATGATCCCGCTTATGGCTCGTCCGAATTACGAGACCCCGTAATCAGAGACTGGCAATAAAGCCTATCACACAATAGGAAAGCACAGGCAATAGGAACAGGGAATAGAATTTCTGACGCGTTGGATTGGTTGGAAGAAAATTTCCGACGAATCCAACGCGTCAAAAATTCTATTCTCTATTCCTATTGCCTGTTGCCAGGCATTGTGTAATAGGCTTAAGAGTTGATTAAATTCTGCGAGTGAGAGAGAGACATCGGCTATCTCACTCTTCTACGATCGTAGATGGCCTATGTTTCTCTCTCACTCGTAGGAATTTGACCAACTCCTATGGCCAGTCTCTGATTACAGACTCTCTAATCTTCTTATGTAGAAATGGCACTTAAGTGGCCTCGATACGGCGACTTTTGCCCATGTATCTATTCACTCGGATGAGCCGCAAGCATGATCATTCTTAGGTGTAGAAAGGGCATTTGTTATAGGTAGTCTGCGGTCCAGTGTTGATGCCATTTCTGTCTTTCCTTTTCACAATTAAAGACAGTGGAAGAACGCTTTGGAAAATATTTGCAGCGTTAAATGGACCGCAGCCACAATCGAAGCGAGTCCAATCCTGTATACATACGTGCGAATAATTGTTCCAATTATCAAGTATTTGCTAGGCCGGCGACGGCCGAAATAAACGAAGGGAGAACGCGTGAAGGATCGACGCCATATTTTTCGAGGCGCATCACCGGCGCCGAAATGAGAGGCGCGAGCGCGACGGCAGGCGCGACTGCACGCGACACTCAACGTTACGGACGTCCGAAAGACACTTTCCGAAAGATAGTCGCGATGCTCTCGCGCGCGGGAGATCGCGCGGAACGTAGAAGAGTCCCGTGAGGCGCGGAGCGATTCTCGAAAGCGATTCCGTCGCGACACTATTCCGCGAACGGCCGCGATTCAAACGTTCGCGACAGCAGTGCTGCCACGCTCGAAAAGTTGAAGCGGCTGGCGTATAAAGCCTCGTCTACATAGAAGTCGTAAAGCCGTAGTCGTAAGAATAGTCGACTATGATTGGTCAATTCTTATGTGTCTGACGAAATTGACCAATCGCACTCGATTATTCTTACGACTACGACTCTGCGACTCGCATTGTAGACCACGCATCACGTCGCACGGTAATTAGATTCGTACGTTTGCATCGCGCTTCCTGCGGTTAATATTAACGGATATTTAACGTTCGAGGGAGGGGGAGAAGCTTGAAAACAGTTGAGACGAACATTAATATTTACTACTTTGCGCAGAAACCAAATGTTTCTCCAGATAAAATAATTTTTCAATAAAGCCTCGTCTACATAGAAGTCGTAAAGTCGTAGTCGTATGAATAGTCGACTATGATTGGTCAATTCTTACATGGGCTGCTTTCGCGAGAAGATCAAAATGATCCGGATTAAAATGATCCTGTGCTATGATTGGTCAAATCTGAAATTTCGTAGCATCACATTGAAATTTTATTCAATGAAATTCCAGATTTGACCAATCATAGCACAGGGTCATTATAATCCGGATCATTTTGATCTTCTCGCGAAAGCAGCTCTATCTAACGAAATTGACCAATCGCAGTCGATTATTCTTACGACTACGACTCTGCGACTCGCATTGTAGACCCCGCAGAAAGGCCTGTGTCCACGATGCTAGAACTTGATCCAAGTTCTAGTTCCGAGAAATATCGCTTTTATGGAATGGCTGCAAGTTGATTGGCTACACATTTCTCGGAACTAGAACTCGGACCAAGTTGCAGTTCCGAAAAATGTGTAAGCCAATCAACTTGCAGCTTTTATGGAATAGCTGCGGGCTGATTGGCTACACATTTCTCGAGACTGGAACTTGGACCAAGTTCTAGCATCGTGGACACAGGCCTTTAATAACTCGATATGGCTAATTAAAATGGCGCGCGTGATCACTGGCGATGATTGCATTGCACTTTTCGCGTACCTCGCACTGAGAGACTCATTTTGTCGAATGAAACGATTGAATCATTTTGTTGACTGAATCGTTTAGTTGAATATTATAAAAGGATTCTGTGCATGTTCACTCAACCAAATTTATGTGTTGATATAACCAAATTTTCCAACTAAATTTTGTTGTATCGACTGAAAGATTTGTTTGCTCATATCCAAACAAGAAATTCAGTTGAGTCAACTAAATTTTATTTTATTCAACAAAATGGGCCTCTCAGTGCGGCGAGAAGATTACGTGTAATAACGATAATATGAAGAGAATTTCGATCGCTACACTTTTATAAATACTGAAACGATCAAAATACTAAATCGATTAAAGTAATCTAATTTCTGTTATTTGTTTCGCAATTTCCACTTATTTCGACATTTCGCGGGCACAAATACGCGAGACAGTTTTCCGCATAATTGGCTGCGTTCAGCAGAAAAAACTGCTGTGCAACTGTTGTAAAATTCGTGAATCTGATTGGCGTATTCCCTTTTACAACAATTTTTACAACAGTTGCAAAGCAGCTTTTTCTGCTGAACGCGGCCATTAAATTGCTTTTCATTACCGCTCGTACTTTTCACTGAAAATCTTGGTCCGCTCTTTACCGACTGCAACGTTTCCAGCGCGAGTTTGTTCGCAATTTCTCCGCCAGTCGTCGACAGCGTCGCGCCAGGCGTCGCCGATTCTCCTGCCATTCTTCCCTTCGATTCATTTCGTGCCTCTTCCGGTGTCCTAGCCATCATGGTGCGTATTCGACAGCGAGTTTTCATGTTTTAATCCGCGAAAATTCGTAGCAATCCGCGCGAAATCGCCGGGGATTTGCGCGCGCTCGTCCCGCGCGTTCGCTTCTTCACCCGCGGGTGCGAATATTAATCGGCCAGCGGTCGTCGCGACGACGCGCGTCATCCTTGTCCTTCGCTTAGGTTATGTTCGCGCTCCGCCAGCGCGAGCGACAACAATCGTGCAGATATGAAATAAACGTGTTGCGCCGCGCCGGATTGTCGATTCATCTTGTCTTTTCGCAATTTTCAGAGTCGCGTCAGAACGAAGACGGTCAAAAAGGCCGCGAAGCTCATTATCGAGAAGTACTACCCGCGTCTCACCTTGGACTTCCACACGAACAAGAGGATATGCGAGGAAATAGCTATCATCCCGAGCAAATCCCTGCGCAACAAGATCGCTGGGTAGGTAGCGACGTTCGAGGAGTGTCAATTTCTCCAAACTCGCTTTACCTCGCCAGCTAACCAGCGATAGCTGCGCTCGACGTTGCAAATCCGAGGCGTCGGAGTGCCCTCTTGCATTCGAGTGAGCGAGAGAGGAGAATGTTGTAGAAAGGGAGAAAGAGCGCTCCGACGCCTCGGATTTGCAACGCCGTACACAGTTAATGAAGCTTGCACTCGTTAATTTTGTTGTAAAGAAGGCGAAAGTAGTTGCTTTCGGAATTATTTAACAGTCAACGTAGCACAATAATTGTAATTGACCTTCAGGCTGGTATCGCATTTGTCGCATGACAAATTTTTCAAGTGTCGACTGGCTGCAGGGTAGAAAAGTTGAGTATCTAGAAATTTTCTAACTTGTAACCGTCGTGCTTAAAACATTTGTTGTGCGACCAATGTAATAGTACCTTTAGGCTAATATTACATTCGTTGTACGACTTGAGTGCCCGTAGACCGCCACGAGGGCCACATTTGTGGCTCAACGAATCTCGATACTCCTCGTGATGTGTATATCATTTGTATACAATCTTTGAGAAAGGATAATGCATTTAATGAAAAATGCCGGCGGTCTAAAATAGTGATACAACATAATTATAACAATGTAGTTATGGCTGCATTTTGATATTTTTACTCTAAGCGCTGAGAATGTGCATTGTACGCAATGTAAACTACAGATTTTCAATGCTGGCAGTGAACTTCGGAACGCAGTGTACGATTCCACGATTCATGTAGATTCATTCGTCACGTTTACCGTGTGAAATTGTATCACTTGTGTTACGTGCTCACTCGGCAATGACGCGACTACAACAATTGTACTTTTTCGCCGCCAGATTTGTCACTCACCTGATGAAGAGGCTCAGGCACAGTCAGGTACGTGGTATCTCCATCAAGCTGCAGGAGGAAGAGCGGGAACGCCGTGACAACTACGTTCCCGAGGTTTCCGCTCTGGAGCACGACATCATCGAGGTCGATCCGGAGACCAAGGAGATGCTCAAGATGCTCGAGTTCAACAACATCACCGGGCTCCAGCTCACGCAGCCCGTTCCGCAGTTTAACAGGCGTAATTAAAATATCGCTCCCTTCACGTTACCAGGAAAATGGTTGGTCTTGCACTTTTCGAATAAAACTGCAAACTAACACCCACGATGCGCGTGCTATTTATTGTCCGTGGAGCGTACTTTTCTCCTTGGTCGTTAAGGAGGCCCTGTGTTTAATTAACAGCCTTGACCATCCGTTCCCGTTCCTCAAAAGAAAGACATGCTCGCCCGAGATTGAAGAGTTTTTTTGGGGACTTTTATTGTCATTAACTTGTGGGAAAACTGTTGTTATCGATGGAGCGACGCGCCGAGTGTCCAGGAGAGATCGGGTGAAACGATACGATTTACGGACGCATCGAGGAAAAGGAAAAGTAAGGGCGGCGCGCGTGCGCTCAATCCGCCATTTTAATCGCGGCGGAAACGCGTGCGACCGTCGTCCCCGAGTAGGTTTCGCGTGCGAAGACGCGCTCGTCGTGTGACGCACGATCGCCCCTTCCTCCTCGGCGCCTCGCCGGATCCTACGATCCGCGGATCTCCGCGCACACACGCACGGGCGTACGGGCGATCGCATTGCGGCTGGCGCGGCACGTGCGCGCCAGCGTCGGGATCATCGTCGTCGGTTCTCGCGCGCCCCGGGCCGAGCCGGCGTCGTCGCCGCCTCGGAGAACTGGTTCCGCCGCGGTGCCTCGCTCGCTCGCGACGTCGGCCGCACCGAGGTGGAGGGACGGGAGGTCGACGACTACATCCCTGGCGCGTTGCGTCGCCAGGTGCAACCCGAGCGAGCCCCGTCGCGACGCGGGGACTCCCTCGTCTCTCTCCCCCGGCGATCTGCTTCCCTAACGTCGCGCTCTACGCGGGGGGGGCAGGGGGACGACGCATCTCCGGCCGGCGTTGATCGGCGCGCGATCGAGCCCTCGGCGGACGGTCCGGTGTCGACGGAGAAACTCTTCTCGGTTTTTATCGCGCGATACGCGAGTACCTCGCGCCGGAGGGGGGGCAGGGGGCGAACCTGCGATAAACTCGGCGAAGTCCAGCGAAGTCGCGCCCCGTCGCCCCGCGGGGGATCGATTCGAATTACGGCGGGGCGGAGGAGAGAGAGAGAGAGAGAGGAGGGGCGGCGGCGTCTCGCGGTGTAAATTCGGCGACGCTCGATAAATTGGCGCCCGCGACAAAAAGTGCGCTCGGCGCCTCTCGACGAGAGGAGGCACCACAGCCCTGGCGGCCGGTCGGGCTGCGCGCGCGACCCTAGTCCTAGAGCGACCCAAGGCTAGGAGAGACCTAGCGCAACCTCGTCGGCGAGGCGAGAGCGAGAGGGAGAAGTAACGGAAGAAAGGGCGCGACGACCCGGCCGTGGGAAAGAGAGAGCGCTAGGAGGCACGGGGCGAAGGAACGGCGTCGGGGCGCGCTTGGCGCGGGCCCGCGCGCCGGGAGGACGGAGGACGGCGCGGAGAGGAGAGGCCGCTCAGGCCGCGCCGCGCCGCGCGAGAGAGTCAGTCGACTATTAGCGGTCTGTGACTCTGGAGGTGGGCCGACCACCGGCAGAACCGAGCTCTACGCAGCTCGGTCGCGCTCGGTCGGCAGTCGGGGCCAGTCGGCCGCGCACCGCCGCGCTCCGTTCTCCTCGCTCGCTGGTTCGTTCGTTCGTTCGTTCGTTCGTTCGCTCGCTCGCTCGCTTGCCCGCTCGCTCGCTCGCTCGTCCGCTCGTCCGTCCACTCGCTCTCAGTAAGTCGTACGCCGCGCAACGGGAGCGACGGTCGCCGTCACGCACGTCTCCCCGCTCGTAAACCATCCGTTTTTTTTCTGTCTGTCTCTCTCTCTCTCGCGCTCTCACTCTTTCTCTCTCTCTCTGTCTCTCCTTTCTTTCCTTTCGTTAAAGGCGACGTAACAGTGTCCTCGCCACCGCCGCGCGCGCTATGTGACGGACATCACGGGGCACCGCAGCGTGTACCCCGCCTCGAAGCCACGCATCGTTTTCCCTACGCCGGACTCTACCCCCTCGGCGAGCCCCCTCGCCCTTTACCGAGACCTACCCCACCTCCCTCCTCCGTCTCCTCGCCCCTGCCCTTTCCCCCCTAGCCGTTCCTCGTCCGCCGCCCGGTTGTGGAAAAAGAGAAAGACGGACTGCGTCGTCAACGCTCGCGCGACGACGGCGACGACTACGACGACAACGACGGCTACCACGACGACGACCACGACGACGACGGCGGCGACGAGGCGGCCACGAGGGCCTCGTGGAGAAGCGTGCCTGGAGAAAACATGGAGTGTCCGCACCTCGCTCAGAGCGTGCGATTCGGCGATGACAACGTAGATGGATCGGGCTGTGCTGCGAAGGATCTGCCGTTCGTCTGCGCAGGTAGGGACCTCGTACAAAGCCCCGAGAGTGCCTTCCACCGATTCCGAGCCAGCTCGAGCGAGACGGGGAGAGAGAGAGAGAGAGAGAGAGAGTGAGAGGGAGGGAGAAGCGTTAGGGCGATAGAGACGGATGGGTGGATAGATAGATGGATAGGGGAGCCGGTTCGCTCTCGTCTCTCGGAGCCTCGCGGCCCCAGGTCTCTCCTCGCTGTTGCATCTCTCCTTTACCCCCCCCCCCCGTCTTTCTCCTCGGCTCCAGCCCCGCTCTCCATGTCTCCTGCTCCGTTTTGCTCTCTTCCTCTCGCGAATCCGCACGCACGCACACACACGTAGACCGGCGCGCTCTTTCTCTCTCTCTCTCTCTCTCTCCTTCCCGCCGTTCCTTTCTCCGTCTCTCCGTGCGTGAGCCACGCTCCTTCGTTCCGTCTCTCTCGTGACCCAGGCCCCGGCCGTTCCTCTCGCGGCCTTGAGCCGTCGTAGCCGGAGACGAGACGAGACGGGACGGGACGGGACGGAGCGGATCGCCGCAATTTCCCTCGGGAAACGCGCCGACGCGCCACCCGTGCGTTTTCGCGACGCCGCCGCGCTCTTATCGTCGGCCGCGTCTCGGATTCTCCCCGTTTTCACGCACGAAGCAACGAACGAAGCAAAGTGTAGCGGATCGAACTCGTCGTCCGGCTACGTGTGCGTGCGTACGTATACCCACGCGCTATCTCTCTCTCTCTCTTTCTCTCTCTGTCTCTCCCGCTCGCTCGCTCTCTCCCGCCGAACGATATGCACGCGTGAGACGCGGGCGAACGAGTGGTGTAACACGAGCTAGTAGGTGTGTGTGCGTGCGCGCGCGCGCGCGCGCCCGCGTCCGCTCGCTCTCTCGCACGGCGTGTTCGTGGTCCCATGACTCGTTACGCGCGCGAGAGCGCGACGGCGGCGTGGTAGAGTGACGGTGGTGGTGGTGGTGGTAGTGGTGGTGGTGGTGGTGGTGTCGGCGATGGTGGAGGTGGCGGCGGCGGCGGCGGCGACGGCGGTGGTGTGCGCGTGTGCGTCGTCGTCCTGCTGGGAGTTCTCAGTATGCGCCGCGCGGCCGTCATCGGAAAATCAATACCAGACGGCACTAATCAGCTGGCCCTAAGATCCACCGTCATTAGAACTCGCCGGCTAACGGTTCGCCGCCGTCGCCGTCGCCGCCTCCTCGCGAGAATCCCGGAGAGAGAGAGAGGAGCGTCGTGAAAAAGAAACGCGCGAATGTCGTGGAATCGTCCGTGCGGAAATTTCGATGGGCCGCAATCGATGTCGATTCTGCGGCTCGCGGTGAGAAAGAAAGGGGCAACCGGCGGCGTCTCGTCCTTCGCTCGCGCTCGAGTCAGACGGTGACATTGGTGGCCGCGCGCTCGCTCCGGGCTATCGATTTAAAGATACACGGGCAGTGGTCATTGCAAGGGGGGGGGGAGGGGGGATGCTATAGAGACGCGGGGCCGTCTCGCCGTAAACATTCGAGTCGGAGCGAGTCGCGCCGGCCGACCTCTCTCTCTCTCTTTCTCTCTCCTTCGTACAACTTCTTCTTGGAGCGCGGGAGAAAATGGAGGATCGTCGGGGCCCGTCATTAGCCGTCGCCGAAGCGCGACGTTCGCGAGGATTCCGCGGCGGTGCCCGGGAAAACGCGTTAACCCGCCGCGCGGCGTCGCCCGCGCGGAACCGGTGCCGTCTCGCGGATGACAGAACTCGGAGCGGGCGGATAAGTATTATCGCCGACCGCCGCGCGAGTTGCGTCAAAAGTGGCGGCGTTTACACGAGACAATGCGCGACGGGGAGGGGCGGCGAGAGAGGCGCGGAGGGGGCGACGATCGCTCGAGAGGAGCCGCGGGCCCCGTCCTCTCTCGGGCGCCGTGAAATCCGCGAGAGAGCGACGGGAGAGAGAGACAGGCCGCTTCCCCGAATCCTGGTGCCGTCCTCTCCGGCGACGCGCTGCTCCTTCCTTTCTCTTTTGCGCGCGGCCTCGGGACTATATTTATCGACGAAACGTACGCGGTTTTTTCTCCCCTTGCGCGCTCGCGTCCGCCCGCCCCTCCGCCCTTTGTCCCGAGACCCCCGCGGATCTGCGCGACTCCGCCCGCTCGGGCCGATTCCGCTCGGCGAGAGATCCCGCGTCTCCGCGATCGCGTCCCGGCTGTCGATACTCGGCGCGGCTCGATGCCCGCCGTCGTCCGCTCTCACGCCCGAGCGAGAAACGTCCTCTCTTCTTCTCCCCCGTCTTGGGAACTCGTGCTCGGAGAGAGAGAGAGAGAGAAAATTTGGTTAATTGCGGCTACGAGTGACTACTAATGACGAGCTATTTGCCGACGGTAAAGCGACGGCGATTGCACAGCGCGCGTCCTGGGGCAATCAAAGCGCGATTGTGAGAATGCCGACTCCGCCGAGCCGAGCGCTTATTAATAAGCCGTCAAATACAGAGGCGATATCTGTTTGTTCGACGAAAGATAACTGGCAAGCACGCGTAAATGACGCGCGCCGAGTGAAAACCGTATCTCTTTTTTTTTTCACTCTACTAGACCACTCGTACGCCGCGCTGCTCTTTCCCCGTGCGACTACGGGGCTAGAACTTGGGTCCGAGCTAGCTTTCATGGAATAGCTGCGAGTTGATTGGCTACGCATTTCTCGGAACCAGAACTTGGACCAAGTTCTAGCATCGGGACTTTGCAGCGAATTCGATCGCTTACACTAGCTGCGTTCGCAAACCCGAGGTGTCGGAGCGCGCTTTCCTCTCTTTCCATCTTATTCTCCTGTCCCGCTCGCTCCAGCGCAGGAGAGCACTCCGACACCTCGGATTTGCAGTGCCGAACGCAGCTACTGAGCGCGCAACGGCACGCGATACTATTTTTCCAACTGGACTCCTCGCAAGGGCCAATAAGGACGCGGGGTCTTGGGTCAGGTGACTCGAGGCTAAACTCCAATTGGCTCGCGCGAGCAACCCAGTAGGAAAAATAGTATCGCGTTGGCTTTAGTCTCGTTTGCAGTTAACGGCCTGAGCAAAATGGCTGTCTTGTACTCTTAAGACAATGTTTTATGTCTCAAAGTAACGCACAATAACTGTCTTGTGGCTTAAAAATATAAGACAGCCACTCCGCTCAGGCCCTAACGCTTATGTCCAAGGATCGGGTGTCTTGAACACCTCTTGAGATACTTGTTATCCAGCAAAAAGTGACCCGCACGGGTCATTTTCTTCACTAGTTTTCGGACGTGCGTGTTTAAGACAAACTTGGGTCGAAGAATTGACTGTGGACAGGCTTTAGCGTGCGCTCGGTGCGAACGATCGAATTTACTGTAAGAGTTTTCGATCGACGAGGCGGGCGATAATTGAATCGGCAAGGTCGCCTCTCGCGACGACCGAGCCGACTGTCGCTCCTTTTCCGACGGAAATAGAACGACGGATAGAGGCGAGCGACTTGCCTACCAGTTTCGTGCACTTGGCGGCTCGAACGACGCCGGCAGAATCGAGCCTGCGATTTTCGTGCCGGCCGCTGGAGTCGCGGGCGCGTCTTTCCTCTCGCCGCGACGCGCGGATGGTGGGGAGACGTGTCGGGTAGGAAACGTAACGCAGAGTCGGGTCGCCGTTAATTTCGGGCCTGGGAGAGGGAGACGGCGGAACAATAGCTTCGCGGTGTCCGATGACGTTGTCGGGCGGGCCGTCACTCATTGCGGAATCGTCGATTTTCGACCGGCGGGTGCCCTCGGAAATTAACCTTGCGCCTCCGTAATCACGTGGGATCTTTTTAACATTCAATCGCACGCACAAAAGAAATCTTAATGCAAACTTGTGGCGGCGCAGGTGTCGAGCGCCGCGTTAGGGCCTGAGGCCAGAATGGCTGTCTTATACTGTTAAGACAGCCTTAAGACAAGATTTTAGCCCTTAAGCCTTTGTCTTGAGGTAACGCCGCTGACCCGAACTTTGAGTTTTCCGACGGACGCGCGGTGCACTCTTAAGCTAATTGTAAGACTCCATAAACGCGTTGAAATGTGGCAACACGTGCGGCAACGAGTCAAAAGATTTCAATTTCAACGCAGGAAGATTGCGGCAGGCTTCTGATTGGTCGACTCGCATTGCCGCACGCGTTTCCACACGCGTTGCCGCAGCTCAACGCACCTATGGAGTCTTAGCTTTAAGCTTATAAGCTTAAGACTCCATAAACGCGGTGAATTGCGGCAACGAATCAAAAGATTTTTATTCCAACGCAGGAAGATTGCGGCAGGCTTCTGATTGGTCGACTCGCGTTGCCGCATGCGATGCCGCTTCTATGGAGTCTTAGGCTGGATTCACATGGAGCGTAACTTGCGTAGCGTAACCTGCGTATCACCAATCACAGGGTCATTCTGATAGAACCGTTTCAATAATTCCGTTGAAATAGTTCTGTGATTGGTGATACGCAGGTTACGCTTATGCAAGTTACGCTCCATGTGAATCCAGCCTTATAGCGAATTCGGTTGCTTGCACTAGTGCGCACTGAGTGCACACTAAGGCTTGTTTATAGTCAGTTCTTATATTTAACTTTGTCTCAGATATATGTTCAAAGAGTATGTAGTCAAAAAATGATCCGTGTAAACGTTGTACGGGCCATTTTTCGCGATAAGAAATATTGCAA